AATTTATTTTCTGGTGTTCCTTTCATTTTTTTTTATTTTTATCTTTTTTTATATCACAGAAGTCATGCATCAAGCCCCCCCTCCCCCAATTTTGGATAGTTTTCAATCACAAATTAGTAGGCTCTGTTCCAGCAAACTTCATTTTTTGGCCAGGTTCAATTTTGTTTCACCTTTTGTTTCAATTTTTATTTGAGGATTACCTTCTCGTTAGTTGAGAAAGAAGTATATAGAGAAGTTTAGAGAAATCAAGAGATAATCATTTTAAAGGAAAGCACAAATGCTTTATTTTAATTCTTATTTTTGTTTTTATTTTCCTCGGGACTCGCTAAAAAATCATTATCTTGTGTCTTGTCTTTCCCTGTCTTGTCTGTCTAAAACCCTCGGTGGGGAACTACAATTGATAAAAATTTGGATGGGAGCCAGACCATTCAATGCATGGATGAATGGTAGACTTATAAATGTGTCGGATAGATTCTGTCAAGAAAAATTGTCTAGTGAAACGACACTGAATGAGACAATGAAGCAACTTTCCTAGCATCAAACTTAGTCTTAGCCACCTTCCAGTCAATTTCAATATTGTCATAGACAATCAATAGCGATAATTATTTTGGCCTTTTTTGTCTTTGGGATTGCGGCTCAGATGGGGGAATAGGAGAGCTGAGTTTGAATTTTAGTTGAGTTTGTTACATCCACTTAGATTAGGAAAGGTATGAATCCAACTCTTCTCCACCCCCCCCCCCAGCTATGGGTAAATTCTGGGGGTTTTATAGCCTTGAGTGAGAACCGGTCTAGGAGAAGGAAAACTCTGAATTCAAAACTGTATGTAGCCTTGGTGAAGCACTTTCTATGCAGCTAAAGAAAGAATCATTCACATTGACTTCATGATCCATGGTTGACTATCTTTTCTTTTTATTAATAAAGATAAATAAATAAACTCATTTTTTTTTTTTTTTTATTGGTATAGAATCATAGTATTTTATTCCTGCAATAGGATTACACATGCAAGTTTTGAAAGTTACCAAATGAGATTTTCAAACAAATATACTGGTTGTAACAGCAAAATTGCCTAATTGTTAGATTAAGTTTTGAACCGTTGTATCTTAGGAAAATTCCAGTAAGATATCTTTAATCATTTCTAAGTTTTTAGAATGCTATTGGACTCTACGTTGAGCAATAAGAATGTATAATTACTTTCCAAGCTTAACTAAAGAATCGTGAGGAAATCCGTCATAAATGAAAGTGACGTTCATCATTAATTAATCATAGCTAAGGATCAGAAGCTCATGAAGGATTGAAATAAAGTTTGTATATATATATATATATATATATATATATATATAAAACATAAGGTGCCTCCCAAGTTTCATGCAAGATTTCATTTTCAAGTACTTTTTTTTTTTTTTTCTTTTTTTTTTTCCTGCTCTTTGGACTGTGATAGCTGTGAAACTCCTCTCTCACATGCCAAATATATTATGGATTGACTTTTTTTGATCAATCTCTTTAACCCTAAGTTGAAATGATGATCCCTATTGCTGTTGTGACCTCCTGATCCAGTTTTCCTCGCTACTTTTCTCTCTTTTTTTAAACTTATTCAACATTCTCTTGATTCTTGAATGGAGTTTGAAGATGGAAGCTATAGTATAAATGTTAGTACCATTACTGAGGGCCTGAATGATCTTTTCTCTCTCCACATTACTCGTTTGGGAAGACTGTGGCGCTGACACAAAATGATTTTAACTTGTTCGCTTTCTAGCTGAATAACTCAAAGGATTTTTTTTCAGTGATTCTTATGACAAATAGTGTCAAGATGGTTAAATGCCTTATCTGAAAACCTGGAAAAAAAGGAAACTCAATTAGTTTAGTTTTTTTTGGTTTGTTTTTTTTTTTTTTAAACATTTTGTAGGGTGGCCACTTATGATTTGGACAATTTTGCTGTTACACCCTGTATTTAAGATAAACAGGAAAAATGTCAAAGACATGAAATTCTTATGGTTTATTCAGTAAATACGCCTTAGTTTAACTTTCATAGAACAAAATTTGCTGACACTCATTCTTTATGAAACTTAGTCTTGAAATTTGAGCTTTTGACAGTTCATTGTTTCATAACCCTATCAGCACTTAAGAAATTTCAATTGTTAAATCCCTGGAGTCCTGATGAATTGCTGAAAAATCTGAATATCTGACATTCGTACAATGGATATAATTATACAAACTGCTGCTTTGTTGCAAGAGAATGCTTCCCCTGATCACTAGACGTCCTGGGGAAGACGTTAAACTACATCTGTGTCATGGGTAAGACGTTAAACTATGTCCAGCAGCAAGGCCTCTGATCAGGAGATATTGAGGAGTGTGGAACCACCTCTTAATTGCTGGTGTTCCCAGGTCCACCCTGACCCGGGGTGGTAACACCTGTTAGGGCCCCAGCTATGGGCAAATAGTTAACTATTACTAGCAATACTTTTTTGAAAAAAATTATTACCAGCAATACAATTTTGAAGGAAATATATTACCAGAAACAGGTTTTTGACAAAACAAAATATTACCAGCAATAAAAATTTTTGTCAGCATTAAATAACCCATTGAGGTTGATATGCCGTAAAACAAAATAAACCAAACCAATTAAACCAAAGAATACATATTCTATTCATACAAATCTATCCCAAAAATGTTGTCAGCATTAAATAACCCATTGAGGTTGATATGCTGTTAAGCAAAATAAACCAAACCAAACCCGATCACTACAATCTTGACCTGTTCAAGTCTAAAGTCAGCTGTTATCTTTCCCACATATCCCCATAAACTCTGCCTCTTACTCTGAAACTCTCTACCTTGAGTAGCTCTTGAGCCTTATACAGAGTGAACATCATTGTAAAAAAAAAAAAAAAAAAATTTTAAATCTGAATGTTTGATGTTAACACAGTTAAAATGATATATCTCAAAGATCACAGGAAATCTCATATTAAAAGTTAGTCTTATGTGAAAGTAAATTGATTTCCCTTTCAAATGGTGTTAATTTTAGCATCGTTGCTGTTACTGGTTTTCCTGACCAGTAATACCAAATATGAATGAGAAAATCTACAACTTTGTAAAAGTTTGTTCCACAAGTATCAATTATTAGGAAGAAGCTGTCTGAGTGGAACTTCTTTCTTACAAATGGAATATGAAGTTGATTTAACTCTCTGAATGAAGCATCTTTAAAGATCTGAACTGATTGGAACTAAAAGAATAGAGCTCATCAGAACATTTGCCATAGTAATAGTAGCAATAGGCTTGCGATATGTCCATGGGGAAAAAGAGTTGTCGGATAGAAAATAAGTCTTCCTCTGCCACAAAACTGTATAAAAAAATTTTGATCTCTTTCAAGGCTGGAAAGTGAGGATGAAGCAAATGTTCTTGTACCAGTGAAATCTAATATGATTTCGAAAAATATATGCTAAGAATAAGTGATCTTTAGGGTTAAGGGTTTAGCAAATGAATTATTCATCACTTATCACTAAAACTGTATCAAAATCACATCTTGATATTTTAAGGGTTTTTATAATCGGTTTAAAAAAAAAAAAACCCTTTGTTTTGTGCCTATCAGGAAATTGTCAAGTTTTAACAAAGCTAACTTCTATTTGTGTATGATTTTTAGATAATTTAACGTCTGATTAGATTATGAGAAACCATTTGTACATTTCTTCATCTTCCTTCTTAAACTAGAAAATTCTTCCTCTTCATAATTTTATTAACAAATTTGACAGTACTGATGTGGATTTTGGGGAAAAATGTTTTTTGGGATCAAACAAATATTACAAAAAAAAAAGGAACTCCAAATGTCTTTTTAACAAACTTACTATGAATTAGTTTTATATTCTACAGGATTTAAAAAAAAAAAATAAATCCCTGTTGGATTTTTCATTATGCAACTGTTTCAGAAGACAATTGGTTTTTCTGTCACACTTATTCAATGTCTCAATTTTATTTTTTTGACTTAAATTATTAATTTAATAATGGATCAAATAATGATATAATCTAAAACTGAATCATTTTGTGGCTGCCATTAATGTTAGGTAATAAATAATTGGTCTGAATAATTCATTTTGTTCTCAACTGCAAGTTAAATAGCGGGATTTTTTTTTTTTTTTTTTTTTTTTGTTGGAATTTCAAACTGTGGGAAACCACTACCTTATCTTTCTCAAAAAGTTATGGCAATTCAGATAATAAAGAAAAGGAATCACTGAGGAGGACAACTCTGAAATTCAAATCATAGTGAAAGAAGGCAATAGGAAACCACTTCCTTGTCTTTCCCAAGAAGTCATGGCAATTTACACATAATAAAGAAAAGGGATCTATGTGGACAACTCTGAATTCCAAGCCATGGAGGACTCCACAGGAATCCACTCCACCGTTTTTCCCAAGAAGTCATGGTAATTCACAGGTAAAGAAAAGGATGCTGTGGAGAATTATAATCGTCTGTCTTGAAGAGATATGAGATTTTAAGAAATGAAGTTTAATAAAAAATAATTTAAAAGAAAAAAGAGACCGTCATCAGAGCAATGCCGAAAAGTCATGGTATTTAGAAAAAAATTAACTTTACATTTGAAGTTTTTTTTTTTTTTTTTTTTTTTTTTTTTTTTTAAATATTCAAAATAACTTAATTTTAATGATTTTTGTTTTTTTTTAGTTATTTTAAAGGTATTCTCAACCAGAATTGATATTTGCTTTTTTTTTTTGTTTTGTTTCATATTTTCTTTTAATTTTTTCTAAGGTCACACCATTAACATTATTTGTCTTTTTGTTTTCAGTATTAATTGTCAAATGTAAAATTGACATTTATTTGACTTTGTATTTCTTGTTTCAACAAAAGCATCTTGTGAGTATTGCTGACAATGTCTGACATTACTGAACCTTTTTTTTTTTTTTTTTTCTTTGATTCTATTCCATTTTTCAAATTGATCTCTTGCTTTTCAAAAGTTTTAAGACTTGGCTAAAAACAAAATGTTGCTTATAAATTTTAGGATCAAAAGAAGCTGAAGAAGAACCTTTGGAAAAACCTGAAACAACAGAAGAAAATGTCATTCTGCTTGCTCGGGTAGGAATACCTTGTCTTGTTCAAATTAATGAAGAATTATTGTAAACATACAATGGGGCACTCTCTCAGTTTTTCAATGACTAGACAAGTAACTCATGTTCTGTATTTTTGTTTGGTAAGCGCAAAAGCTGAGGAATGACCTTATAAGAGAAACAAAAGTTGAAATTAATGTCATGGTTAGAAATAAAAATTATGAAACCTGTTTCCAGTATATTTGGTTGTTTATTCAGGGTTTCACTTACACTTGGGATAACTTTGTCTGCCATGACAAAATTAGAATAACAAATCAGTTTTTTTTTCCCTTCAACCAGTAAGAACACTCTCTCCAACCACACCTTTGCCCCTCTATATGCGACTGGCAGCTCACCCACAGGTGACTTGAAACTACCCTGTAATGGACAGCATCAAAACTCTCTGTTCAGTTTAATTGTAAATCTAATATAAGCCTGTGAACGGAACTTCCTAACTTCCGTCTTAGTGGCACTTGTTCCCAAAAGTGTTTAAACAGTGTCAAACCTGGTTAGTACTTAAATGGGGGACTGTAAGCAACTTCCTACAATTAAAATGTTTCATATTTAGATTTTTATTTACACTGATGTTCACCATGTACAAGGGCTGGGAATTGCTCAAGGCAGAAGGTTTACAGAGTAAGAGGCAGAGATATGTGGGAGGAAGATAATGGTTAGTCATAGACTAGAACCGGTTAAGATCCTAGTGCTCTAGGGAAAACAATCGCTTGGGAGTTAGTTCCATAAATGAGTGGTTTGCAGGAAGAAGCTGCTCAAGTGCAATGTACATCTCACCAATAGAATATGAAGGGAATGAAGGTGGTTCAATACAACGTGCATAGCATGACGGTCTTAGCTACGAACTAAGGAATGTAGTTCATCTGAGCACTTTACACGGAAAGATCGATAAATCAGTGAGAGGCTTGCAACATTTCATCAGTAAGAAAGGAGTTACATCATTTAAATTATTCAGACTGTTATCCTCATCTTCATAACGTTTTGGCCATTGTATGCTCTGGCCTTCTTCAGGTAATTGAAATTTCGAATGCTTCTTCTGGATGTGTCATTTCTCTTTAACTCGACTTTAAGTTTTGGTTCACCATGGTCTAGTCACTCTAACGCTTTTATCTACTGGGCTTTGCGTTATGAGTTCAATACCAGGCTACAGTAGTAGTGAACCAAAACTTGGAGAGTTGAATTAAAGGGAAATAACTGAAACATTCAGAAGAGGTATGGCATGTGGAACTAGAAAAATATAACCTTGAGGATGAAATAAAGGGTTCAATTCGAAATTCCAATCACCTCAAGAAGGCTAGGGCGTACAACAGCCGAAATGTGGTGAATATGGCAATGAAGATTAGGATAGCAGTCCAAATATTGTAAATAATGTAAGTAATCATAATACCACATCTCGGAGATATAGACAGAGAAAGGAGTTGTCGGGTAGAAAATAATGTCACTCACAAGGACATGGTAATGCTTTTGGACTCTGAGATTGGCAAATGGAAACTGGGCAGTGCCTGACTGTATATGGCAAAGGTATGTCATTTTCAACCTGATCAGGTTCTTGTAATGGTTGTGGATAGCAAAAGAAGTGGTACAGGGAACTGACCATTTTTCCAGCATCTTTTAACAATAGATCGTATGTATGAGTTCCACTTGATGTATGGATTGAGATTAAGGGCCAATAAGCGTCCAAGGCATAGAACATCCTGAAGGAACCTCCATTTATCTTGACTGGTGATAGTTCAGGTTCCAATCGGCAATAATGGAAAGATTTTCAGGTCACTGAATATAACTAGCCAGTACCCCCACTCCACCTGGCTGAATTGTTAGGGCTCAGTCAGAGGAGAGATCAGCTGCCAATCTCTGGTCATCTTGAGTTTTGGAGGTGCACTTCTATCTTCAGCCTATATATTCATAAATGATTGTAGTATTCTCTTAGGTAGAGCATAACCTACAAAAAGTTAAGCCATAAAAATCAAACTGACCAAGCAACTAATGAATCGGTCAATCATAAAAACTTTCATGCATTTTTGTCCCCTTCTGGTCAAGTGGGTGGCCATTTTGAAAATCCTACTTCATAGACTTTGTAGCTGGTCATTAAAAACCCAAAACATTTAGGAATCTGATAAAATCATTTAATGTTCACTTTTGTGTGGGTGTCCTGACAGTTCCATGTCACATTAAGGGTGAAGAAGTTTCTATTTAAATTGAATGTATTCATTTATTTTTTCACTATCACCTCCCACCCCCAAGCAAGGCAGTAAATCTGCTAAGATAGAAGGGGTTACTGAGTGTTAGAGAATAAGAAAAAGTATTAAGGAGAGAGAGGACAATAAAAGAACAAGAACTTAAAAAATGGAAGATAATGATTGATACTGCATTAAAATTTTTATCAGTTGACCAAGAGAAGCAAAAAGTCATATTGCTTATCTGAAAGAAGGCCTTGTGATGTGAGATGCTTAACCAATTCAGAGTTAGTATATAGTAGTTTGCCAAGAAATTTCTTGTTGATAACATTTACAAAAGATGGACAGAAAAAAATGTTTACATTTCTTTGCAATATTAGTTTGACTTGTGTATGTGATGTTTTGGATTCAAAAATTTATGAATTGAAGTGAATTTTAATAAAACTAAAAAATACTTACAACTTTTATTTATTTCATTTTGAAATCTTGACATTTTCTGTATTGTTTTTTATTGCAGGATCTTGCTCGTACGAAGGATGTTAAAGATTCAGATGCTGGGCGTTTGGCTGCAGCTGCTATTGCAGGAACCAAGAGCCATAACCGCAATTGGTATCGTATCAATGCTGTGCGTAACATGGCTGGTAGCCGGAAGTTAACCCCAATGGTATTGGACACCTTCAAAGAAGTGAGTCAAACCATGTTTTTCTTTGGTTTTTTTTTTTTTTTTTTTTTATATGAATTTCATGCCCTTTTCTTTTCAATGCCATAAAGTCTTGTAGATTCTCATGGATTTCTTCTTAATATTTTGAAGTGTTTTCTTTCAATTGAAAGTGTGGTTTTATTGTTTGGCATTATGGCACCTGAAACCTTTTTAGAAAAATTTTATTTCACTTAAATACAAAATTAAATTATATTTAAAAAACAAAATGACTGAAGCAGAAATTAATAGTTATATATATAATGGCTATTTTCTTTTTGCATACTGCTAAATATTTTTGTGTGTGTTTTAAGAATGATTAAGACATTAGTAAATATAATTTACTTGATATATAATATATACACGTATGTATGTATGTATGTATGTATGTACAAATGTTTTTGTTTTTTTTTTCTTTCTTTTTTTGAGTTTTAACAATGATTAAGAAGTTTAAAAATTCAGGTAAATTAAAATATATATACAAATATTTTTGTTTTCTCTTGACATATTAAATAATCTTGTACTTGCTGTTGTGGCCAGGGTGGTAGCACATGTTAGGGTCCCAGCTATGGGCAAATAATGAACCCCTAAATTAAACACTATGAAAGTATAAAAATACATTTTTATAGTGAAATTCTTGGCAATACATTTTTATATAAAAAGAATTACCAACAATACAATTGTGTGAAATAAATTAAATAACCCATAGAGGTATTGATATGCTGTTAAACAAAATCATCCTAGCAACCAAAAATAACCTGGGTGACATACAAAATTTTATTATGGCTTTAAAAGCAGACATTTTAAAAGAATATCTAAATATATACACAAATATTTCTTATTACTGTTTTTAAACACATATACCCACTAAAATAATGGTTACAGTAATAAGAAACACTGTTGAAGAAAAAAATATATATATATATATATATATATATATATATATATATATATATATATATAATTTTGAATAAATATATTTGTGTATGTTTAAAATATTCATTTTTAAAGCCCTAATGACATATCTTTCTGACCCAAATCTAATATTTGTTCAATGTCGATGATCTTTTGGCATCTATCTAATCTCTTTTACATGCTTGTTTTCAGATTTAATGTTTTTCAACTAATTGCTTTTATTGTCCCTTTTTTGTTTTTGTTTTAATGATTTAGAGGAAAATGATTTTTAAAAATATTCAGTATTCCTGAAGAGTGGATGTAATTCTTCAAAACGCACAGTAGAGGCAAGATAAACAATAGAAAAAATATTGTTGAAAAAAAAAAAAAAAATCCTAATTTCAACACTGTTTTAATACCATGAAAGTGTAATAGTTTTTTTTTTTAAAGACTTAATATTTAAATAAATCTTTTACAATTGGTAATTGGAAACTAATAACTCATGAAGGAGAAAGTCCTGTGGGAATACAAGTATCTGGTATTAATTTGCCAACAGTAAGGCAGAAATATATATATATATATATATATATATATATATATATATTAATCCAACATTTACTCAAATGTTATTATAGTGGACACAGGTATTTGAAATAGCTGCCCCATTTTAAATTAATTTTAATTGCTTTCTTTCTGTTTCGGTGCTGATATGGAAGTTTTACAAAAACATAATCTAAGTGAAACTAGAGCCTTGATTTTGATGACTTTTCTTCATGGTAAAGCAAGCTGGATCAAATGATGTTTTCCCCTACAAAGGCAGACATGGGTTCAATGAAAATAACACTAACATCTTATTCTAACAGATGTATTTACCAAAATTGCACAAAAATATCTAGAAATACTTAAGAGTAAGTTTGGTCTCTTGCTAAACAGTGCCCCATGCATAATAATCAAGGGGGTTGCAGTCTGAAGAGTTAGGGGGCCAGATATAAGAGGTGATGTGGTTGCAGAAATTGTCTAACAGCCATGGTCATGCCACAAGAAATTTAACTTCAAGATGAAGACAACAATTTTGTCTTTGACAATAATGAACACTACGATATTTGACTTGCAATAAGCAACACACTGATGATGACTTTTGTGCTATGCCAAAAGTACTTGGAAATAAAAAAAAAATATGCATCAACATGGTGATTTTTCTCTTAGCTT